TGCTCTCTGCGGCGTGGGGATGCGGGGTGATGACACTGGCTGCTGCGGCGTGGGGATGCAGGGTGATGACACTGGCTGCTTTGTGGTCCAGGGGTCCTGCAGCCATGGCCCGGGGCCAAATCCCAAGGGATCTAGGGATGCTGTTGCCGGTGTGGGCTGCGCACGGAGCGGGGAGCAAAGGCGGTGCTTCACGTCCGCATGCATCCTTCGGAGCGATGGCTGCGGTCCTGGGAGCGGCACCTGAGCACTGGGAGTTTTGGGCTTGTTACTGGTGCTGCTGGGGGATCATAAAGCCCCTGGGAACATTTCGGGGACAGGATCCAGAGATGGTGTGCAAGCTGGGGTGTCCTGAGCATGACACCCCCCCAACCCAACCTTGATGCTACTGGATGCTCTTAGCAGATATTGCTTTAATCCTGAGGGCTGGGGTGAAGTTTTCCAGGAGGAAATGAAATGGAAGAGGCTGGGTCAATGGCAGAAAGAGGGAACGGAGGGGGAGCGATGTCCCTGTCTCGCTGGAGCCTGTGTCGGGCGAACTCCGTTCCTGTGTCCATCCTCGGTGGAAACAGGGTGGCTGTATTTATTGTCTAGTGCACCAAAATAAGGGAATGAAGAGGCCTGGAATGGCTGTGCTACATGGGGTTCAGGGATGGAAAATCAACACTTCCAGGCCAGATTCGGCTCTGCACATGGCAGAAGGATGGGTGAGGGGAGAGGTTTCCCGAGCAGCCATGGCTCTGCCGTGTTTCCCTGTGCCCTGCTGCCACGTCCCACGGGACTCATCTCCGGCACTGGCTGCAATTGCAGCTGGAAAATGAGCAGGAGGTGATGGAGAAGCCACCGGTTTGGGGACAACCGACCCTTTGCAGCCACCCCTGGACATCCCCAACGGGCACCCATTGCTGTTGTCCCATCGCAGCAGCCAAGGGGGAGGAAGAGGAGTGTGGCAGAGGTGGAGGCAGGCTTGCTCCTGGGGGGACCTTCCGTGCAGAGGCTTTTTGGGCACCTCCAGCGCTCGGGGGCATCTTCTGAGGCTGGTGGGGCTGGTGGGGTTGGCCCCCGGCTGCCCAGGCTGAGTTTCCAGCATCCAAATAGCTTTTGTGGCGGATGAAGTAATGTAATATTTATAACCGAGTCCTTTTTCCCAGTGAAGGTCTCTTTCATCTGCCTCCCTTCATTAGGAGGAAACTGTTGAGTTCATGAAGAATTGGAGACGATTTTAATTACGGGGCAACCGCAAGCAGGAATTAATCTGGCTTTTGGGTTGGTAGAAGCTGCGTTAAGGGACGGCCTTAAAACTTGTAATAACAGCTCGCGCATACCTGCGCCCTGTGATGTGGGGTAAAACCGACTCTAAACGCTTAAAAACAAGAAATTCCTGCCCCGTGAATTCATCTTCCCGTCTCGCTCTGCACTTTGGGCAGCCTCTCGCTGCGGGACGGTCCTGGATCCCCTGCTGCCGAATCCCTTCCCTCGCGGGGGTGG